TTGCCCATGGCCTGTGAGCTGGCACAAACAGTGATGTGCCTGCGGAAAGTCTCCTTGAATGAAGCCACTTTATATTTTGGAAACCTGGAGGAGGAGCCACCTGGTCAAATGTAAACACCTACATACGAACTTGTCTCCTCTTCCCTTATGGTCAGCAGAGAGAAATAGTTGATTTTAAACCTCAATTCATCTCAGCCTGAAGCAGGTCTCTAAAATAGATCAGATGAGTCATATGCTGAAAACGCCCATTGCTTTTCATTGACTACAGCGGGATAATAGGGTGGCTACCTCAGATGGCACTTTCAAACTGTACATGTCTAATGGAGTCATCTCCTATTTCCTAGCATAAAACCCCCACTATATCTGATGGATGGGAGAAGCCTGCAATTTCTACCTTTACAACTTATTTTCTGTGTATTTTCTCTCTTTTATCAGTAACAACAAATGACAGAAATTTTTTGTTGTCCTCTCTGTGCTATATTTTATCATTTAAAAGTCATCTATCTGAAATCTATTCCACTTTACACAGCAAATTCAAAGAATTGTAGAAGGCAGTATTTTAAGTGGCTTTTGGAAAACTCCATAAACTGTTGAAGATGGGAAATCCCCAGCTACATTGTTTCAGAAATCAGGAGCTGAGAAGAAGAATATTTCTATGGTTTTTGGTGTGGAAATATACAGGAGGACACTGAAGTGGCTGGTTGTAGGAAATGAAGAAGTCATGCAGTCAGCAATTTTTTTTCTGGGCTGTGCTGGGGATTTGGTGGGACCCTATCTTTTGCCTTCAGTAAATCCCCAAAACAGAGATTAGGAGCTTGTTCCCTCAGTGCAAAGTGTGCACGGTGTAAGGTGGGCTCACAGGGTTTTGTGATTGCTCAGTGCTGAGGGTACCACATGACACCCCCCTTCTTCTGGGCCCAGTTTGAGTTGGTTCTGTGTAACTCCAAGAGCTCTGCAGCCCAGCCCAGATCCTTCAGTCAGAGCGGAAGGAGGAAAGAAAAGATGGTGAGAGATTTTCTTCCTTTCCACCAAGGAGCAGCATGACAATGAAAGCTCTTATTTTCACACACGTGGCAGTCGGTGTTTTGTTCTTAGAGCTTTACCTTCAGCTGAATGCAGTCTCATTCTCTGGTCTCTTCAGGCCCTTTAGGACTTCCAAAGGTCACTAGTGCTGCATGGATAGGAGTCCATCTAGTGTATTCTTGTTCTCTGCTTATCAAACTGGTGTGCATTTCAATATTAGAAGACTAATTGTTTTCCCCCTGTCTGATGTTGCACATGAATTATTGAATTTATCTTGTACCTGCCTGGGCTAGAAGGATTTTCTGAGGAGAGTAATGCACACATTTGGTTTTACTTTCTTGACTTCAGCAAAGATCAAAGATAACATTCACATGCTTCATCCTTCCTAGTTGTGTAATTCATAGGTGGCAAAAAGCTTCTTTATGGAATCTTTAATTAAGCTTATTTTGAAACCACTTCTTGGGTTTCCTTTCATTAAGTAATTTCTCAGTGTTGAAATTTGAGTTGAATTTTTTCTTTCTGCTTTCATGGAAAATGATTCTGAAACTCTTTTTTTAATGAATTAGGAGTCAGGAGATATTAACTCTACTGGTACTTAATCATATTGTCAGAATATGCAGCATCATTGGAGTACAATCATCACAATAAGAGACTTTCATTTCAAACATGATTACATACAGCTGGATCACTCCCAGATCATAAAAGTATTTACTAGATAGCTTTTCTTTGCGATAAACAGAATAGTTGATGAGTACAGTTGAACATGGCTTTGTTATGGTCTTTGAAGAATGTTAAAAAAGGAATATTTTATTATTAATTTGTTTTCTAGTTTTATGCTACTTGCTTTTTATCTGTTACAGAGAATAAATATTAGCAAAGGCTGTGTGTGGAAATTTTGCCAATAGAGTTTAGCTATCTTCTCAAGTGACTCTTTGAATCATATCCATCAAGACAACTGTTTTTTTTCCCCCCTGTTTAGCTGGTCCATGACAAAGATGTGATAGTTCTTGGTTTTGTCTTTTCTTTAATGCTTTTAACCAATTTAACTCTATCAGAAAAAAAAAAAAGTATAATACAGTTTTACTGGTTGCCATCCTCTTTGTTTGTGCTGTGGACATCTTCTGGCACTCGTTAACTCTTGAAAAGTGTTGCAACTGCTGTAATACATCCCCCTTTTCCAGGGCTGGCCTTTGGCTGTTTTATAGCAGGGCAAGCTCTGAGTTGAGCTCTATGACTTTCTAACTCAGGTGTCTTTCTGAGTTTTATTTTGAATTACTTCTAATGTCTGTAATCTCAGGATGCTCTTGTCCCTTCATGTGACCCTGTATGTATTGGCACTTTTCAAATTCTTACTGCATCATATGGTAATTCTCACAGTTGTCTATAAATGTTTTGTCTGAATTTGTGTTCACAGTCTCTTCTCAGGGACTATTTTCCACCTGAGTTCCTTCTCTATTTGCACCTTTATTTTATACTTTCTGTTTTAAAAATAATGTTTTTGTATATGTCATTTTATATGGAGTGCACTTCTTTAATACAATTTCAGTTAGCCACATCTGCTGTTACTGGAAAGCTCTTGAAAGCATCAAGTGCTTCACAAACATCTATTGTCAGAAATAAAACTACTCTTCTCTTCTCTTCTCTTCTCTTCTCTTCTCTTCTCTTCTCTTCTCTTCTGATACAGTTTGTGTGCAGATGCAGAAGTAAGTGGTCTCTCAACCTTCTCCAAGTCTTTTAAACTCTGATAGGGATTTTAATAGCACCTTTCTTCCAATGATGTTTCCTATCCTCCTTCCAGAACCATGTATTATTTAATTTCTCTAAGGTCAGAAAAACTGTCAGACGTGGCTTCATTTTGTAGATCTACCTGGGTCTGACATTTCTAGTAAAGGAAATATAGCTTCCCTTTAGGCAGGGGATGTGCTTATCTTTTGCCCTGACCTTGGCTGTGATCTAGTGGATAACCTCTTCAGAGGGAGTGTTTGCTTTTGTGACTTTGGATTACTTTATCAAGAAAGATGTTTTGCTCTGGCCAGAGGCCTGAGCTAACTACTCAGCAGGTCACAGAGGCATGACAACATCTTCACAGAGCACCCTCATGTTATCTACCTCTTCTTGAGACCATCATCCCGTACTTTAGGGATTCCTGAGGAGCTGTAGAAGAAGGGAGACTTGAGGGAGGGAAGGCGGAAAGGAGAGTCAGAGAAGGCCTCCAGACAGGCTATTGGAGAACATACTGATTTTCAACAGGAGCTGGAGGGCAGAGATTAGGTTAGCTGTGATTTATAATATATGTCCACCCAGGAAAGAAGATGTTCCCTAGGCCAACAGTAGGTAACACCTCCTATTAGAGAGAAAGGAAGTTTCTAGCAGGGATTTGACTTTACACAGCTCAGGTCAGGCAGCCTAACAAGTTTGCCACCAATCCATCATCCCCCTGAAGGCATGGGCTCCAACATAACTGGGGCAGCTCTGCCTGGTGGGAGCTGGTGGTACCTTAAAGAAGATGTTCTGTGCTGAGAAGTATCACTTTGCCAGGGGAAGAAAATCCTTCTCGCTTTCTGAAAGAGAACACAATCTTTCTGACTGGTAGGCTTTCAGTTCAGAGTCTCAATGTGTGCAAATGCCCAAGCATGCAGCCAAATGTCCTTGGAATTTGTTAAGCTAATAGATGTTTTCTCTACAGGCTCCTAACAACTTCAAGTGATATCTGAAATGTTTAAACAAAATAGCTCATCTGTTCTAGGGTAAATACATTCATATGATAATTCTTAAGGTTGCTGCTCTTCCCTTATATTTAATTATTTGGAAAAGAAACGTCTGTCTAATGCCTCATTTAAGATTCAGTGGAATCTTCCTTGCTTCAGTAATTTTCCTATTAAATTACAACTATTAACACTCGTTCCTCACCCTAAAGGAAACCAATAAAATCACCCAAACTAATGAAGTTGTTTTCAGCAGCAAGCACCTCGTTACGGGGGTACTTCTAATTACTGTTAAAATGAACTGGAACACAATGCCTCCAGAATGGGATGTCCCAGAGCTATCAACCCAAACCATAAACATCTGTGCAACTCATAATCTCTTCATTTAACCTTTGTAATAGCAACACAACCTCAACTAATTTTTAAATGCTGGTAGGCATTAAAATAAATAGATATGAAAATGTCACTGACCCATTATAAATAGAATTCTAATTTATGAGCGCTGCCTCCCAGTAAGGAATTGTTTTTTGACTTTAAAAAAATAACCGTGCCACCTGGAGTTTATTTTTTTCTTATATTGTCTAGTCTGAACTAATTTTTTTCCTTCTGCACTAATTGTTATATTTAGATACCATCATGCAGAAGACTATATTGAGGAGTGATTAGGGTATAACTTACATATCAGAATGCATGAGCTAACTAGAAAACCAAAGCTTCAGATCAGATTTAATTAAGATAGCTTACACTCTCAGTTCAGTTTTCTGCCTAAAGCAAGGAAAAAAATGAAGACTAACGGCTTCTTCCAGAAACATGATACTCCTGGGATAGGAATTTAGAACTCCATAAGCAGAGTAGCTTTGACTCCTGTGAGTAGTCCTCCTGAAATCAGCATGACTAGTTATGTGAGTAAATGGTACTATGCATAAATTAATAATGCACAGTCTGGCCATATAGAAATCCTTGTTCTGGCACAGATTACTAATTGCCTGCGAGTCATTCAAATAATGAAAAAAGAAAAGTAAGTAAGTGATATTCATACAAGCAATGGCTTGCAGGGTTTTTCTTTTTAGTTTTCATACATGTAAAACTAAAGCTTTAATACCAGAGTAAATCAAAGTGGGAATCTTCAGTTGGAGCTTGCTAAAGGGCAGTGTCTGCAACTCATATTGCATTCAACTCCTTACAAGAAGAAAGGTGATTTGTCAATACCAACAGCTTAGTCTATAAAGAGCATGTTGAAACTTCATGCATAATTGTAATCACTATCAATTTACTGCTCATATTACAGGGCAGCTAGAAGGTGGGGAGCGACTGAGATCCACTTCCATAAACAGCAGACAAGTAAATAATGTAAGTAACTGCACTTGTCTGTCTATGTTCACTTTCATTCATAGATCATACCTAGGCTTTAATGGTTTTTATATATATATATAGTGTGTGTGTGTATATATATGTATATATATAGGGAAGCATGAGCCAAAATACATACCGTCCCTTTCTGCTGTTGCTGGATGCTGAGTGCTGGGTTCTGCAATGCTAACTGAAGTAGAAGGCAGAAGAGTATTTTTATAAACATTGGAAATATTGAGGCCTGATGTCCTTTGGATTTGTGTCTTTTGACTGATCAAGGGAAGGGAGATGTGAGAAGTGAGAAAAGAAGAACTTCATCTAAACCTTTTTTTTCTGAGCTGTATTCAAGGTATATACCCTCATGCCTATAAGCTCCTGGACTTCCCTTTGGCTGGGGCATGAATGGGATCCTTTCTCTGCTTCTGTCCATCCATTTATTTTCATGAAATTTGTAGAAACCTAATTATCTTTTGGACTGATGTCAAACTGCATTAAAATCAACCTGTAGATTCCAAAGATGTTGAGAAAGACGTGTAGACAAACACACAGACTAAATGTCTAGCTTCATTTCCACAGGAAAAATGGACTAAAATACAGGGTGGTTTTTTTTTCAGTAAATTAGGTGGATAGCACAGAGTGGGAATATTTTAGTTTAGGATTGATGTAGATGTTGACAAAATTGTATCTTTTTACATAATCAGGTCTTCAACGGGAAAATGTGCTGCGAAGCCACAGAAGCCACAGCCAGAGGTGATGGCTCACTATGCTAGGTGCTATTCAGGTAGATAGGGACAGTTCCATTTTCATTGGATTGCTTTTGATCTATAAAGACAGAAAAAAAAAACAGACAAAAAGTTGAAATACAAAGAACAAAACCATACTGTTAATGCAAATTATATATCTCTGTTCTTTCCCTTTTTTATTCGTTACCACTCTCTGAGCCTTACTATAAAGCTTGACAAAAGAATCTGTGTCCTGATAAACTGGTACATAGGGAGTAAAAATGTGCCTTCGTTCCTAAAGTCTTGTCCCCAAACTGCAGAAAATTATGCAAAAAAAAAGTTCAGAAAATTCTTTAGGAACCTCTTTACATGGCCTGAAAGAAGATGCAGAAACTGTTGTGAAAGAGGCAGACAAGTGACTGGCATCATTTGTTGCATGGAGAGAACAGGGAGACAGGGTAAGTGACAAGAATAACAGTACCACCTGGCGGAAATGTACCTTTGTCATGAGCAATTCAAAGCCTACTCAGGGATATTATCCTGCTGCACATCAACACAGAGTCCGAGCTGAACTGAAGATGCTGGGGGATTTCACAGAGACTTTTTTTCTCCCTTTTTAGGTAATATTACTGTCAGGGGGTTTGTTTTGTTTTGCTTTTAAATTATGGCCATTATTAAAAACTAGTTTGTAGTTGATTTGCTTTGCAGGTTCCTTGAAAGCCTCTGGAGCGAAAGGAAGCCGCGTGGTTACACAGCAACACGGGGCTGGAGAGGACCGCTGAGGTGGATGGAGCTGTTCATGTCACTCATACCGGGAAAGGCTGCAAGGAAGAGAGAGGCTTTGCAGCTTTCCATCAAGTAGTCACATTCTGGATTTGTGCCGTTTTCTCTTTCAGTTTAAGACATACAGTGGCAGTGCTGTGCCAGATCAGAGGTGGATCTGGCTACTCATCCCATACTTGACAATGGTCAGTAGCAATGTTAGGAGAGCATAAGAAGCCTACAGCTGTATAACAACCTGTGGTTAGGAAACCTAAGTGACATGAGTATCTTTAATAGTCCTTGTTGATTTTTTCTTCCATAATTTTGTCTACTGTCTTTTGGAAGCCTTCTATGTTGGTAGGATCCAGGAGGTCTTGTGTTTTATTCCCCACAACAAAAAATACTCTGTTCCCAGTTGTTTTGCACCTTGTTTTGAGCTCTATGATCTGCATTCCCTGGAGCTGGACATAAATCTGATGATTCACAGGTCTGCATTTGCCCTTAGTGATCTGATATTGATAAAAGGAACACTGAAATGATCAGAGTCTAAAGTCATTGATGTCATTGTCATGACATCATCTATTGAGAAAGATGGCAGCTGTTTCCTGGAAAGCTGGGATATGTGACTTGTCATCAGATTCAAATACAGTAATCCAGTTCGGACATGATGGACCAAGGGGTCATTATGCTCAGAAACGTGGTTAGGCGAAAGGACAAAGTTTCTCAGATTTTAGAGTTAAAGAAATCAAGGTCTGTGGGGAGACCAACAGATAAAGTCTGAAAAAATGACACAAGTCCTTTCTCAGTCCAAAATGTAAGGTTATAAAGCTAAATACAGTCCCAGAAGCATGAAACAACTGACCTGAGACAAGCATGTGTGACTGAAAGCTTTCTCTCTTGTTTCCAGTCTCTTAGGTCTACTAAGAGGTCCAACTTCCTACAAATCTTAACTCACTTATACAGATCATTATAGATGCAATGCTATCAGTCATCTGAGTAAGTCATTTGTAGATACTGATGGAGTCTAGCCGCAGGACGTTACAACACAAGCCTCTTGCTTTGTCTCTCTGAGCTGTGAATGAACTCTTTCCAACAAAGTTTTAGAGAAGAATCTCATTTTTCAGTCTTGCTGAAGTTAGCTACCGTCAACAGCAGTTTTCTGACGACCTGAACTCTTGATGGCTTTCTGATATGTTACCTGTGGAACTGGCTGCCTCCGTTGAAAATCAGAAAAATAGTTGATGTTGATGTATTTTGGGTAGCTGAACTCACTGAAAATCAAAAGAATAATGTATTTTTTACACTTTGATCACCTAGAGGTATTGTTTTGAGTAGTGAAATGAAGAGTTTGAGTTGTTCTTCCTTGGAAATGATCTCTTAATTATTTTGTGATTTTAAGGTTTTCTATCCTTTTGTGACCCTGAAGAACTCTAGTTCTTTTAGCATTGCTGTCAAGGCTTGTGTTTTGTTTTCTGTATCTTTTTGTTGGTGCTGGGAGTACTAAAGGCCTCTTGATAAAGTTATTTGATGTAGTGCTATTGATATTTGTCAATAGCATTAACCTTCCTACTAATTTATTGCCTTTATACACAATGGACTGTTCCTTTGGAAGGGTGACTTTCTCTTTCTAAATACACCCTTTTCTCTTAGACAAAAACATGGGGAAAAACAAAACATCTTTTCCATGGATTCATGGCTTGCTTTTTTTTCCCCCAAAATTCAAAGTGAACTCGTCAAATGAAAGTGTGTCAGAAAGCTGTTAATTTTGTTGACAGCATCGCTTTACTGCAAAGATTAATCTTCATATATGACTGATTTTTTTCACCCTCTTATTCTTCTCTGAATGATCTCCAGATGAGCTACCCTGGAATAACAGCATGCTGAAATTTCAGAATGTCTCAACAATCTTTAAAAGATGGTGCAATATGTCAAAAGAACCTAATTTCCCCTAAAATTCCTTTAAAATAGAGTAAAAGTGATACATCATGGTATTTATAGGGAAATATGAAAGCATAGTACAAATAACTAGGAGGAAGTCACAGAAGGGCAGGAGTATTGGGCAGTTTGCTGTCATGGCACACACGTGATTGTCATTAAGAATATTTATTTACAAAGTGTGTTGTTTTCTTACCAGCTCATTATATTAGTTCCTCATTGTGGAGATTTATCTGAGATTAAAAATTATAACCAGCATTGTTATGAACTAATGAGCACATCTAACTTGGATGCTTTTAGAGCATTAAATGGAATTAGTGACAGCACCATTTAATTTCATTTTGGTGAGGTTATTATCACCTACATATTCCTTCCATGAAATGGGACCATAACTACTTCAGTGGCTGTAATGATAGCACACACGATATTTCTTTATTTCTGTATTTAGGTCAGCTATCGCTATTAGATAATGTTCATCATTAGGAAGGCAAAGTGGTCTATTAGAGGGAGGCTCTTTCCTCTGGTGATACAGGAAACCTCAGATGATCTTTTGTGCCTTCATGTGAAAGCACAAGGAGCATGCACCGGGATCTACATGTTGTGGCAAATAATTTTCAGGAGTATCCTGCTGGCAGCTCATACCAGGGGAGACAGGGGGAACAAGCCCTCCATTTTTGCAAAACTTACATGCAGTGTATGACTCAGATTCATGATGGATGTGGTCCCCCACCTCCCAGTTTTTGAATGACTTCTAATCAGGGCCACAGAGAGCCGCAGCATTTATCAGATGGCTTCCCTTCTTCAGGTCTTCATTCACAAATTCGCTTCTGTGCAATGATGCCCAAGACAGCACTAATGAGTTCGCTGAAGCTATCGGAGGCAGAATAGCTGTATTTTTGTGGTGCTCTGCCCAGGTTAATAAGCCCTGCTTCTCAGCAGTGCTAATTAGGCAAAGCAGAGATCTCCATGGCGGTGAGTATATTCATTCTGATGTTCAGTTATTTCGGGCAGCTCCACATGGTATTGCATTGTGCTGGTAGACCTTCCCTCAGCATCAAGGACATTAAGAGGGAACCCTGTCCAATAGCTCTGTAGGCTTCCAGCTCTCTCTTCTTCCAGTAAATGCAGTGCAGGTTTTTCTCATAAATTATCTAAGTGATACTCCTTAGAGACAGACCTACTACCTGACCGAAACGCTGCCTTCTGAGATGAGTAGAAATACACTTATTGACTCAAATAGAATGAAATCCTGACTCCAAGTGAGCAGTGTGAAGTAGACAAACTTGTCTGAAAATCTGTAAATTAAACAACTACCTAAAAAAGTCAGCGTTGGACACTAGCCTGTCAGATGTTATTGGCTTTTGTCACTAGCCACCAGAGGCAAGATAGCTTTGCTGGCAAGGGCAAGGAGCTCGTTTTACCATTATTGTGCAATCAGTACCCCACTGTGCCTTGCAGCTGTGGAAACCTGCACCCAGTGCATGTGAAAATGTCATCACTGGTGCGGGGGCTGCTGAACTGTGCCTGTCACTTTGCACCCCTGGGACAGCCTCACTGGACTTGCCGGC